ATGCTCAGGTGATTCTTGAAACTAGGCATTTTTTGGCATGTTTGATAAGTTAGATTTTCTGTGGCACGGACACTCTAATTAGAGTAACGTGTCCGTGTCCGACACTTGTCAATACATACATTTTTCGGACACTCTACAATAATCATTTTTCCTTTTTACGATAACCATTATGTTATTAGTAAATAATAAATAAGCACTCATATTTAAAAAATTTCAACAAGAAAAATCAATAATAAGTATAAAATTAAATTTAAACCATATAAATGAAGAATTTAAAGAATTTAATAAACGTGTCGACGATGTGTCATACCAGTACTTTTTTGAAAAATCACGAGTCGACATATTTGACACGTATCGTGTCGGACACGTGTCCGTGTTGGTGCATCATAGGTTAGATTGAATAGTATTCGACAGTATTGAGGAAGAAAAATAAGTTAAAATGTTATCTAGTATTGCATACCAAACATAGCCTTTATGTTAATCATATGTCGCGTTACAAGCTAGCTAGAAGCACTTTTTGAAGGCTGATATATTATCAGGCACAAAATTATGGGTTCAGGAGGATGAAACGGATCCCGGGAGGGTATGAACCCTGCTATTCTACATATGCTGAAGCATATTTCAACAGGAAGGATGTTCAAGTTGCCCTCAATGTGAACTCCGTGGGAGAGGGCGCTAGCGTAAAATGGACAGTCTGCAGGTAAGTTAGCTTTCTGGCACTTTTTCGTTCATCAATAGATTATTCACTTCTACTTGACATATTATCTTTCGTTGACTGTTATTCTCGATAACCTTTCCATTTTAAATTGTTCACTGCAGTGATTCTATATTTAGGGCTTATAATTATACTGTATTTTCCATCTTTCCTATATACAAAAAGCTTATCAGAGGTGGAATGAGGATTTGGATTTACAGGTACCTGTTTTCCTCTATTACTATTACTATCAGTAGTTTTTACTTCTTAATTCATTTGCATTTTTGTGTTCATTTAAAGCATCTTTTTTGGTTAACATAACTTCTTGAAACATTATAGAAATCGGGTAAACAAGTATATAGTTTGTGCAAATCCAACGACGACAAACTAAGCCTATCTTTGGGTAAACTAAAATCTTATTGTCAATAAATTTGGTCCGTTCAGTTCATTGCTACATTTTCCAAAATCCAAGGCATCTAGATCCTTATGAATGGGAAAGGTTGATCTTATAAAGAAATATTACTCTTATTTCATTCATTTTTTCGTAAAATATAGCAATTAATTGTAATGGTATCAACACGTTCATGGACTATTTGGTGTTTTTGTAACAGTGGAGATGCAGATGGCCGAGTGCCGGTCATAGGTTCAAGATACTGTGTTGAAGCTCTAAAACTGCCCCTCAAGACTCCGTGGACTTCTTGGTTCCACAACCATCAGGTTTGTCTTGATAAACTGTGACTCGGTTAGAACACAATTTTTTGTTTTTTCAAAAACTATTTTATGCTGTTTATCTTCAATATAGTCTCTACTTGAGTCTATATTGCAATAATTTTTCCCTAAAACTTAGCCAGACTTGACAAGAAGCTTGGTTCTATGTGTTCAAGTATTTAGAGAATAAAGAGGAAAATGTTATGAAAAATGAAAAATACAAGTGGCCGGGTACTTGAGACATGTGTAAGTATTATTGCCAATTCATAGTTGCAGAACTCAATTTGTGACGTTGCCTGTGGTCGCTTATGACCCGTTTTCATTGACGTTTTCTTGTCATCAAACATGTTTTCTTGTAGAACAATGTGAAATTGGAAATTATGTCTGTAGCAATGGTTGCTTTACTGGTTTTGTCAAAATACCTTAAGAGACGTGTTTGGTTAGGAGGATTGGAAGAATCGATCACTATTAAAGGGAGAGAGAGAGAGGAAAAAAAAAAGTAGTAGTAGGAATCACATTGTTTGCGTACCAACCATGCCCCAGAGTTTTAACGTCTTCCAACGGGTTTTGCAGTAGATTCTAACTCTAGCATGCAAGGTTCCAAGAAACTAGCATGTTTTGCCCTTTTTCTTCAGTCCAAAAATTGTACCTCAATATTTTGCTAATGTACAATGAACGAGATTTTCTCTACTAACAAATACAAGAAGTCCTAAGAATTTATGTTATTCTGTTTTGTAAAATGCAGGTAGCAGGGAGGATAGTGGAATACGAGGGCTTGACTTTTGTAACAGTTAGAGGGGCCGGTCATCTTGTACCTCTGAACAAGCCCAACGAGGCCCTCACCTTAATCCGTTCCTTCTTGTCCGGTGACAATCTCCGTACTCATAGATGAAGCTCTCATCAACCGTACTTGTCCGGTGAATGATTTTTAACTGGTGTAAAAAATTCAAAGAACAAAATAATAGAAATTGTTTCTTTTCTATTTTCAAATTTGGCTTCTAAATAATAAAAAATAAAGGTTCTTGAAACATTGTAAAGAATGATTTTTTGAACTTTTATTATCTATATGTAGAAGTTTTTCGGTTGTAAGAAATAAGATTTGACCAATATATTTCGGATAATGTTTGCATCTATTGTCTTGTTGCACCTGCTGACACCGAGTTAACCGATTTTTATTCACTACATACCGTCATTGCTGCTTCTCCATGAAGAGGAGTTTATGATCCCTGGGCCTTTTAAATCCACGCGGCTTTACTCCATTAACTTTCAATCATTGAAGAAAATTCTTCGTTGCTGCTTCCTATAAGAGTTTGTCAACATCTCTAGATTTTCTTCTCTGGGACTGTACCTTATTTTTGTTAAATTAGTACTTTTGATGCATGTTCGACATGAGAATTGGATATTAAAAGATAGTGTTGTACAACAATTAGTTGAGTGTTTAAGTTGCAGAATATAATTGCCCTTTCTACTATCATTGGAGCTAGCATACGAAATTTTCCGTTGAAGGGTTCCACTATCAGGGCGGCCCTTGCGAGCGATATTCACTTTCAAGAGTCATGAGCCTACGCCTATACCATTACTCTCGAAGAGTTCATCAAAGAGCTAAGGGATGAGAGGAGGTGGAATTTCTTTCAACTAGAACATTTATTACAACATCTTAAAACACTTAATATTACAGAAAATGACAGAGAATTCGGCTAAGAGCAGGAGATGAGCTTCGGGCCGCACATTGCTATGATCAACACTAGCAAAGTGATGATATGCTAGTAATCCTTCTTGAAATTGGGTCAAAAGTGTGAGAATAATGTGTTGTGTTGTGTTGTGATGGAGCATTATTTACTTTGTAAAGGATTCTATTTATCCTACATAAATCAAGTATATATAGGTTCGTTATCATTTCATCATATTGACCTTGGAGGATGGAATCTTGATACTTAAGAAGATAAGAATCAGAATTCGACTAATACGTTAACGAATAATATTCTGATCAAGACATTGAAGTTGTGTGCAGATTTGCCAGTTCTTCAAAAGTATTGTAATACTTAAAACTTTTGTTTGATTGTTGATGAATCTGAAGATGTAGATTTTGTAATTGTAGCTGATTTTTTTGAAGAGAGAACGGATATTGGAAATTTTTGTTTTGCTTTTGTTTTGTATTTTTTGACATTGTGGGCTATTACAACATATTGTCTTCCTACTTTTTAAGATGTGATGGGTCAAAAGTGTCAAAATACATTTAAAGTTAATCAAGAAAACAATAAATTTGGGACAACGAAAGTTTTCATCTTTGAAATTATTGGTCCTTGGAACTCAAAACCTTTAGAAATATTATGTTCAATGTAAAATGAGTTGATACATCTATAATCAATATTTATAATATATTAATCACTTCAAGTGAAAATCATTTTTTGGACGATTTTAATCTTACTAGAATTCAATTATTTCAATAATACCTTACTTTTCGTTTTTCAATATATATCTATGATATATTAAATATTATGTCACTTCAAGTGAGAATCATTTTTTTTGAACGATTTTAATCATACTATAATTCAATTATATTAATAATACCTTGCTTTTCATTTTTAATATATAATAAATACTACAAAATTCTTGTAATATATGAATTTCGTGTTATTAATTTTCAATTAATTAACATTTTCATTAATCTAGATTTAATGAATCTTAACTTGATGAATTTTGATCTATATAAATCTAAAGTTAGTGGATGAATTTTTTCTATCATGTATTTAGAAGTTTTAATGGGTGTTTAAATTCATGTATTATGTTATTAGCAATTAATTTTTACGTACCAAATGTAGTTTAAAAAGGTTGCTAAATTTTATAGATGGATTTATTTTTATTCATGCAATTTAGAAATTTTAATTGATATTTAAATTCAAGTATTGTCAGTTAATTTTTATGTACCAAATGTAGTATTAAAATGTTGCTCATTTGTAGTTTTTCACCATAAAAAAAAAAAATTTGAATTATAAAAGTTTAGTTTTGAGAATAAAATTTTACTATCTTAAACTTTTATCCTAAATTTTATTTTCTTTAATTCTTTTGAGACTTGTCAAATCATTACAACAAATTGGTATCAAATATTACTTTTATAACAATTATAAAGTGTTTCAGAACAACGTGTATTGCATGTTCAACTCTAATTAGTAATAAAAAGCTTACCATCTTCATATAATTCCTTTTTACATTTTTTTTTTCACATATTTGAGTTAAAACTCAAAAGATATACTTATTTAGTGCTTGTTTGAGGGACATTTTTCCAAAAATAAGAATGGCATTTTCAATCGTTGGGCTCACCTCTCTAGACAAATTGTGAGAAGCAAGTCAAACTTGTCATGTCATGTCATGTCAGGTGGGGCTCAATAACGATTCTTTTTCTTCTAAAAATGGAGGAAAAATGGGAAACAGAGTTTAGATAATAATTTTATATTTTATTGCTAAAATAATTAACTTTTGAATGTCAAACTTTGATATAAATTAAAAAATACGTAAATTTACTTATAAGTGAACTCGTTAAGCTAATTTGAATAATTTTTGGGTCGCTAAAAATATGTAAATGACATCCACAAAAGAAAAGAATATGCCCGTGGTTGCGTTCGCTCTTGGGTTTGTGGACTTTGCGGATTGCACTTCCCCACTCCATCCCACGTCCCCTCACCTCCTCCAATATTCCTCAATTTTGGTCCCCAATTACCATTTTGCAAGAACCATGTCCTTCTGTGGGCAGCTACAATTACCTTCTTTGATTTACCAATTAATCTCGTGCTGGTATGCTCTTTCTTTATTATATTATAGGGGACTGTTTGCGTAAAAATTTGATTGCAAAATTAATCTGCTTATATTTTTCCTGTTGAAAGTGAGATATTATTGTTTAATTTTGACTTTAAGAAGCAAGGATTGGAAAGAATATTAACCTGCCTAAAAAATTGCATAAACTCTGATTCAAATTTTTAGTCACTTCTTTATAATTTCCGGAATTTTTTGTCTTTTTTGTTGCATTATTTTCTGGGTTATTATGATTACCAATCTGGAAACCTTTTTCATGATTTGATTGTTTTTTTTGACAGCCCACTTCAAAAATAATTCTAATACTATTAAAAACTAAGATCATGTTTGGTCTTGCTTTTTTTATAGAAAACAAAAAAGAAACCATTTTTTTGCTTTTCTAAGCTTGACCAAACATGATTTAAGTGAAGTTATTGGGCTGCAGGTAGCATCATTTGTGGAGGAGGAGGAGTGAGCGAGTGATTTTACGGCTTCAAGAAATTCATTATTGATTTGTGGAGGAAACGGATTGATGTCGCTGAGAATAAAGATGGTTGTAGATAATTTTGTGCAGGAGCTGAAGGAGGCCCTGGATGCTGACATACAGGACAGAATTATGAAGGAGAGGGAGATGCAGAGTTACATTGAGGAGCGTGAGCGTGAAGTTGCTGAGCGCGAAGCAGCCTGGAAGGCTGAACTCTCTCGTCGTGAGGTACCCAAGTTACAGGTGTATTAATGAAATTGAAATACGAGTTTTGAGGATGTTAAGAACTGTGAACTGAAGTAGTTGAGATAGAACGATGAAAGGAATTTGAAAACTTATATAAATTTTCCCTGTAAGAATTACAAAGAAAATGATCCAATTTATAGTATCAGAACTGGAACAAGAAACCAAACCCGATCCCCATGCTTACCCAATGATACAAATAACCATAATGGGGAAAAATGTTATACTAGTTACACAATTAAAACAAACGAAGTATGAAAAATATCAAAGTATCACTAACGTATAAATATTTTTATTATCTTTAAAAGAGGAGATAAGCTGTTAATATTTATATATAATTTGACTATGTAATATAATATATTCACAGAAGATTTTCTGATTGCTGGTTGTAAGTCATTGCCTGATGCTATGATATAATAAGTAACATCCTTATAATCCACCTCTATGACGCTTTGCAAATCCATCTTTTGCAAAAGAGAGTGTAAGTATAGCAAATTAAGTGTTTAGTTGAAGAGTTGGTTGAGATATTTTTACATGGAAAAGTTTTTGGGCATCTGACCGTGGGGATGCTGCTAGTAGTTTTCAATTTACTTTTTTCAACTAGTTCGTCCTTCGTCCTGAGAATTTGTTGTGCACCTTTCTTTTTCTAGATCATTAGCGTAGGTACCATTCTTCATGTAACTGGTTTGATATGTTTATTATTAATAGACAGCCACGATTGACAAAATTTTTATTCAGTTTCAAAGTCTGCTTAAGTGGGATATCTATTTGTTCTAGACCTGCTATAATGTTGTGTTTTGTTTTGAAGAAGGTGCAGAGAACCACGTTAAGAAAATAAATGCATAGTCACCACCTTATATTTAAAGGCTTGGTATTCGTTTCTTGGGCATACTGGGATGGATAGAAAATGTAACAGAGTGATGGTATGTTCGAGAGGATTGGATAGTATTGGACATTATTGAGGAAGAAAAAAGGTTAAAGTCTTGTTCGTTGTATTTTCGATTGTCCACCGGTGCATACTAGACATGCAATGACAATATAGACTTGCATAGATCATTATGGGTATCTTCCATAATTGTGGGTAGAACCTTCGCTTTTCATGGTACATTTGGGTGGGAAAGGGGGAAGTATTAAGGAAAATCTTAAATGCATATTGGAGCAGGTGGAAGAGCCATGATACACTGAAACTGGAAAACTTGATAATATTTTGCACATCTCTACACGCATCATTTATAGACTCATCAAACTTGTCTACATAAATTTGACCATCAGCATGCTTTTTGACGCTGTTCTAACAATTTTCTAGACCTGAGCATTACATTATGAGGATACAATTTCTTCGCACTGGAGAATAACGGAATAAGAGATTATCCTCTGTGGTGCAAAATGAAACTTGTGTTATACCTAGACCTTGAACTTGTATCTTGAGTTCTGAATGTAGCAGCTTTTTTAAGATTTAGTTGACTTCGTTTGATTGTACAATATGGAAGGTAGATTGGCCTTTCGCCTCCAAGTATGCTTGGGGATTTCTTCTTTTTGCTTTCAATAACTCATTTGGGTAGGTCCGAAAGTAACATTGCCATGTTTAATGATTCATGTTACCAAATATATCTTTCCTGCATTGGACTTCCCGAACCATAATTCTTCAGTTTCTGTTTGCAATCCATGTCTTTTGGTTAGCGAATTTCTTCACTTTCTTTTTATAGCTCCATTTGGTGCTACTGGCAGAACTCGGAACTAAGAGCATGTTTGGCTAAACATGTTTTGAAAATAGTTACTTAATAGTAACAGTTAAGCTTAGTCAAACACGCTTTAATACCTATTTCTATGTATTAAACCACCTAATTTATCTTCCCACATTTGGGCTTACCCATGGTCACATGGTTGTGGAAGGCTGTTGAAGAAATACATAAACGCCTTCCTCATAAAGGTGTTTTGCTTCTGATGAAAATCAGTAGACAAATTATAATTAGCTCTTTTTGTGTGTTTTATTTTCAATGGCTATTATTTGTCAAAAAGATGATGATTGGAATTGTTCTGAGTCCTTGTTTTCGACGTGTAGGTTGATGTTATCTATTTGTTACAAATTTTTAGTTTTGATATGATATCTGAGTGTGACATTGTTGTACTCTAGGGTGAGATTGCTAGGCAAGAAACACGGCTAAAGATTGAAAGAGAGAATCTCGAGAAAGAGAAAAGTGTGCTTATGGGAACCGCGTCAAATCAAGATAATCAAGATGGAGCTCTTGAAATAACAGTAAGCGGCGAGAAGTATCGTTGCCTTAGGTTCGCAAAGGCGAAGAAATGAGGTACACAAATCCTTATTTATTATACTAGCTCATTATGACATGTTTTTAGGGATAAATGAGTTAATATTGGACAGTGTTAAGGAAGAGAAATGAGCTAAAATCTTGTTTATTAATTCTCTAGTCGTACTTTAAACTTTGTACCGAACATGCACTTACTGGTTTAGAAATCAATTGGATGCTCTTAGTCTTGTAAATGAAAAATTGCAGATACTTGATAATTTAAACTGACTCTCACTGAGCTTGTATTCAAATTATTCAGCAAATTTTATTTGTATAAACAAATTTTGGGACAATATTATTTGTAGTAGCGTGGATAATGATTTCCAATCTTCAAAAGAGAGGTCGCGGGTCTTCAACCTACTTGACAATGTTAGTAGAGATCCATAGGGATGAAAATCGTTAGGGATGGCAATGGGCAGGTTCGGGGCGCCCCACCCTTCTTCTGTTTGTTGTCTTGTTTAATTTTTTTTTTCATTTATTATTATTATACATTTTCAAAATTTCGAGTTATGCTATTATTAGAGAATAAAATACAAATTCAAAATGGGATTTTAACGATTGAATTGTCTAAAAATAAAATTATTTTTATTATTATTTTTTTCTCTTTTCGGCCAATCCTTTTGGGCTGGTTTTTTAACCATCACTAAAAATAAATTGTTAATTGAAAGTTAAAAAGTTAAACTTTGTTTTAAAATGACTATTATACCCTTGCTTCACGTCAAGAAGACAAAAAATATGTCAATGCAATAACATAGAATATGAAACAAAAAGAAAATGAAACACAAAGTCCAACTGATTTCATCTGCCATCCCACCGCTAACATCCCATTTTTATCGCCACGGGCAACTCCATACCACCTGAAAATCGAAGCCAAAATGGGAATAAAAATCGAATTCCAATATCCCCTTCTAAGCTTTCCAATTCACCAATGGGTTCCTCTCGAATTAAAGTTCTCGATTTTAACTAGTGTTTGTCAGGAATTTGGCGATAAATACTTGGCACATTATGAAGATTATGCGGAAAGTGAGTCTTGAACAAAATATTTGAAAAAATACAAGAAATGGTAAGATCAAAATGGGAGCAATCTCTATTTTTGATTAATAAAAAAAATCGTCCGCGGATAATAGGAAACTCGAAATGTGTCGGACAGTATTTTTGACAATTCATCTAACACATTAATGGATAATATTTCGACGGATATAAAAGACATTATAGATTCATGGCCTTATCTAAGATTACTTGTTTAGTTCATTGTGTTTAGGGATATAGTGATGTGTTGATCATTGATCTTATGGGTATGAGCTCATACATAGTCTACTAAGAAAGTACCCATTTAAATTGTTCAAAAATATTATTTATAATTACATTTCGTAAGATTCACAATTTATTACTCATTAGCTATTCAGACATGTCATATGATTCTCAACTTATAAGCACTGCTTAATAAGTAACAAATTTTGAAATCTTAACTACTCAATTTGCAAAGATCTTGTTCCTTTGAGCACGTTTGGCAATAAATTATTACATGTCTTTAAAAGAAGAGTTGTAAATGCTACGTTAGAACGTATAGAAGAGTTGTAAATACTACGTATGAAAATCGAACAACACTAGATTTTGCTAGTCGAACCGTCCAATCATATTTAGTGTGCAGTACTAAATGTACACAGTTACTACTAAGTGGGATTAAAGTGCTATTAAACAAAAGTTGAGGGAACGAAAAGCAGATATTCACTTCACAAAAACTCGACAACGGTTACGCACGAACATGGGGTCGGTTCGAACTTCGAACAATATTGTGGCTGCCTCGACTCACTATGCTGACTGTTCTTGCTCGCATGGGCCCACTGAAACCAAGCTAGAGAGAGGGAGAGAGAGCATTCATTGACTACTGCTTTGTGGGCTGCTTTTCGTTTCAGTTTTCATCTGAAAATTAGTTTCTGTTCCAAAAAAAAAAAAAAACTCATTTTATTGACACAGTGACCAAAATTGTGATTACACCTCTTCACTTTTTGATGGTAAGCTTCTTTTTTCTGTTTATTATTATTATTATTTTCTTTTTTTACGATATTATTGTTATTCTCTCTCTAAACACTTGTAATTATGTATCTGTGGCATCCAATGTTTTGATGTCGGCAAACGGATTTCTTTATTTTTATCAATTTTCTGAAAATTGGTGAAATATTTAGGCTTTTTATTAGTCTTGTGAAGTACCCAAAAATTAGGTTTTTAGGGCTTTGGCAACAAGGTATAATTGTTCTATATGCGGCTAAAATTTTGCATCAAAATATTTTATTAGTGAGGCAGTTCATTTGGTTATTTTCTGCATTTTTTTGTTTCAAATGTATGTATAATTTTGTTAATTTTCTATCTAATTTTGTGTATTGCTTGATGCATAAATACACATATTGATAGAAATGCACAGATACACAGTTATTGTTTTACCAGCTTGGGTTTGGGTATGGATAATTTTGTTGATTTTCTGTATGATTTTATACATCTCTTGATGCATAGATAAACACACATATATTGAAATGCACAATTGTACTGATTGATGTTACTATGTTTTTCTATACGAAATATGCAACTTAAGTTTTGCTTCAAGATGTTTTACCTCTGAAGCAGTTCATCTGGTAATTTTGTAGATTTTCTATATAATTTTATTAAATTTCTTGGTGCGAAAATGCATTTTTTGTTTAAAGGCATGCAACTGTTTATTTTCTTTCCAAATTAGGCACGACTTGCAGCTAAAGAAGCAAGTTCTCTGCCTCACTTTTTATTTTTTCGTCTTACTAAATTCAAATGTATAACTACAATTTAGTATGCCCATAATTTCTGCTATCTTAAGCCCTGTTCGAGCCTCCTTTTTTCTAAAACTCTTTTTTCCAAAAACTCATTTTCAACCGCACGTTCTCCCAAACCCAAAGTCTTTCCCTAATTTTTAACCACACATTCTCAAAAAAAAAAATAAAAATTCACTATTGCAAAACATATTTCCCCCAAAAAAATGGGGCTCAAACAGAGGCTAAGTTAGATATCGACGTAAAGTATATGTCGGAAAGATTTTATCACAGTTTCCATAACATAATGCTGACTAAGTTCCTCTTAAATTGTGATCTTTGAGTTCTTGAGTGCTTTTACAAAAACTTCAGCAAGTGTAAGGTGATTAAGAAATCAATTAAATGGTTATGTAAAGTTTTTCGGTTGAATAGATAAAGACTGCAATTCTTCGATCCTTGTTTTAGGTATTCGTCACCAACCTTGCAGTTGCATCCAAGTGTTAGGCCAGTGTTGAGGACTGAGGAGTACCACCCCTAAAGAACCTAACCATTCTCTTTGAAGTGTCTTGAAACGCTATTCGTACTGTTTAGGGGTGTGAAACCTTGAGACTATAGCTCCTGGTTGGCCAATTTGATTTGGCTGATTTTTCTTTTTCTTGCAAAACTATATAATGCGTGTCCGAATTTTCAAAGTAGATCACATTTTGACGATAAGATTCATTTCCATTTTGGTCATCATGTATACTTTAGTGCCATGCATTGAATTGACTTGTCCATGCGTTTATGGGAACAGGTGTCTATCTGATAATGCTTTAGCAATGAATTCACTTTTACACCTACTTCTATGTTAACTGAAAGCAATAAGCTTAATGGTTAGAAAGGGAACCAACAAAAGAATGGGTTGGATTGTTGATCATCCGAAGGTAAGAAAGGAATTTCAGATACTGGACCTGCAGTGAAAAATACAGAAGGAAGAGTCAATGAGAAGGATACACTAGGAGAGGCACTTCCAAATAGTAACCACACAGTCATGCCTCAAACAAAGAGCAGGATTGATACAAGTCACGTACCAGACGAGAAGAGAAGTAAGAAAAAATTTAAGAAATCTTTTAGAAGGGAAAACAGAAGCATTGATGCAGCACAGAATGAAAAGCCGGCACCTGAAGAAGGCAAGACTTGTATGCCTACAGTTGAAGTTTCTGATGTGAGAGACAAAAATGAAATTGCTCCTGAGAGTAATCGCAGCCCTCAGAATTTGAATAGTTTTGTTGATTCACAGAATGAATTGCATGCAGAAAACAGAATGGGTAATGCAGAGTTTCTGGATACTGAGCTTTTTAAGTGGATGAGGACATGTGCTTTTGCCGTATCAAAGGCATCTATTGAATGGGCAGAGAGGTACAAACCAATGTTTGTCACTCTCAAAACTGAAGTACTAAGGGCACATGATTATGGTCGAAGGATGATTGAGCTTGTGCAACCAATTGTCTTCAGATTGATTATGTATTTTGGTAATACAATGCTTCTTCTGTTGATGGCTTGGTTGGACTGTTTTATCAGAGGCATGGAATCCTTGCTCCGCATGGGGACAACATCAGTTTTCTCTATCATTTGGTTTGGTGTCCTCTCAACAGTTGCAATGGTCGGAATGACGAAGTTTCTCATAATACTGGTAAGCGGTAATCTTTAAAAATGACCTATACTTATATCTTTTTGGAAGGAAAAACCTCAGAAAAGATGTGGACTAGAAGTTGCCTAGTTTTCTGCTTCAATTTTCTATTATGTTGGGAATAGCTGCTAATTGAAGGTTTAATTGTGAATTATCTATCAAGTATGTTTCTTATTTGCTTTTTATGGACTGTTCAGGTAATCACTGCTGTAATTGGATTGTTCACTGGTTTTGCCCTTGCAAGTGTGTTTATTTTCTTCTCTGGAGCGACTTTCTTGTGGTTATATGGAAGCTTTTGGACAAGTGGACTTATTATGACTTTCGCAGCAGGTGAACATTTATCTCAGAATACTTGGCAATTTTCACCATCTAGATTCGTACCCTTATCTCCTATACATAAAATCACTTGGCATGATGTTTAATTACTATTGGCACTGATATTGGTGGTTTATGGAACTGCAGGATTGGCATTCATACTGAGCCATGATCGCATTGCATTGTCTATTATGACCGTGTATTCAATGTATTGTGCATGGACATATGTTGGATGGCTTGGCGTGCTTATTGGCCTGAATTTATCATTTATTTCAAGTGATATTCTTCTATACGTCCTAAGGAATACTTTAGAACAAAGAAGGCCCAACATTCATGAAGAACAAGCAGCTGGAATGCAAGGTGAACCATCCTTTTTTTCCCATGAGTCGATGCATGCTTCATCCAGTGGAACTGGTACAGATGTACCAGATGATCGTAATCCTGGAATACCTTCAACTAGTGGATCTGATTCTGAAGTGACATCTGAAGATGAAGTTGTTAGGTTGTTGAACTGTAAAGATCATTATGCTGCATTGGGCTTGTTCCGGTTTCAGAACGTAGACCTCTCCATAATCAAGCGGGAATACAGGAAAAAGGTGAATGTCTTAATATTTCACTTTTATTATCGGGTAATTTACCTGAGAAATTTACAGTGTGGTCCAGTTGAGTGCTCTACCACCATGTTTGGTAAGACAAGGCTAGAGTGTTCTCTAAACAAGATTTTAACTTCTTTTTCTTATTTGATATCGTCCATTACAGTTCGCAAAACATGATCTACAAGTATGGATCTCGTTCTGTTGCAATAACTCAAGTCTAATGGAAATTCTTCAGAAAAAAGAAAGAAATCAAAAGAATCAAGAGTCTTTCTTTTCTTTTGGCTTTTTAATTGCACATTTGTTTGTGGTTATTAGGCAATGCTTGTCCATCCAGATAAAAATATGGGAAACGAGAAGGCTGCAGAAGCTTTCAAGAAACTTCAAAATGCTTATGAGGTATCTCTTTTTCTTAATTTTGTTCTCTTTCGTTAGATTGTTTCTATTAACTGAATTGTTGTGCCTGAATACATCTTACATCTTGTTTTCCAAGGTTTTGCTGGATTCCGCCAAGCGAAAAGAATATGATGATGAATTGAAGAGGGAAGAGCTGCTGAATTTTTTCCGAAATATCCAGAATGGTTCTCAAGAGGTTTGAGCTATAACCTATTCCACTTTCCTGAAATGACTTTTAAATTCCCAGGAACCCTTACGGCACCCAGTGCCTTGCATGCATCTGGTGGTTAATGATACATAAACCTAATCATTTAAAAAAAACTGTAGTTTTGCATATTGACTTCAATGTTCCATGCTGTTATTACTTAGATACGAGACTTTTAATGCCCTTCTTTTCGTCATCACCAGCTGACAATCTTTTATCCCTGTCAAGATATGCTGTTGATAAAATAATTCAGAGAATAAAAGCATTGAATGGTCATTCCATTATGCCAAACATAGCGATTCCGTTGTACCAAACATCATATTTTCTGTTCCCAGTCTTACTTGGCCACATTTTAATTGAGATTTCACAATTAGAGTTTCTGGTTTCAATCTACACCTTCAGCAGCAATAGTAGTTATGGATTTAGTTTCTGTTGATTGAACCATTTTTTAATTATTTTTTATTTCAATGTTCACAACCACACAAATAGAAAAGAAAATGAGGTTTCTATGCAGCGTGGAAAGAATCCTTCTATAGCTGACTTAGCATGCTTGCCCTTGTCTCCAGCATCTATGAACTTATATATTGTTAGTTTTACTTTAATTAGTTGCAGACTTATCATTCTTTTCAATTGCCTCATGCTTTCTCATGTTGCTTTTCCAGGGGCGGGGCTTCACTACCTCTAGCTTTGCACGCCCAGAAGCAGAAGGGGAGGACCCGCTTGGGGAGTTGAGAAGAATTGCGTGCAGGAAGTGTGGCTACTTTCATGTCTGGGTTCACACCAAGAAACCAAAATCTAGAGCAAGATGGTGCCAGGTTTTCCATTCTCTAATTTAGATTTGTGGATTTAGTTTTCCATGGGAAAAGGCATTTAAAGAAACTTCATCGGGGTCATTGCCAAAGATATATTTTTACATGCATTTTGATTTCTGTATTTTCTGTTCCCAAGGATTGTAAAGATTTTCATCAAGCTAAAGATGGGGACGGATGGGTCGAACAGTCCTTACAGCCTCTCTTCTTCGGAATACTGCAGAAGGTATGTACCAGAAGAAGAGCCATAAAGGTTCAATTTTTCAGCTTCTTGGTTTATTTGCTTCTAACTCCTTATTATATGTGCAGGTAGAACCTCCTGCTGCATATGTCTGTGCTGATGGCAAAATTTACGATGCAACTGAATGGTATATATGTCAGGTACGGTTTTCTCGCTTGACTGTATAAAGATAATGACTTGTTGCATTTTTTGCTGTCACTATAATTGAGTAGTATAGAAATATTGAATGTAGACCACTTGTTTGAAGTGTGTAAAATTTGGTGAAGGTATTGGCAGTCTAATTTTGATAGAAATAGCATTTTCCACATTGAATCGAGAGTTGAAAGATGGAAAATTGTTAGTAACTTCCTGATATAACAAAAGAAACAGAAGATAAAAGTTGTCACTAATCAAGAGTACAGGTTAGATGTGAAGGTAAAATGTAGTAGGCATGAAACAACGTTAATGGTATGCCCAGCAGTAACCAAAGAGATGGACCCCGTTCCTGTTCGGCTTTTAAAAAAGAAAAAAAAAGACTTTAATACACCCAAAGAGAAGCATGCTGGGCTAAGCTTTTACGGAAGTAAAAGTCCCGATTAAGAGACTTTAATTCGGTACATGTTTATATATACATGTATGTACACACACTTCAAGCAAAAAATGCTACTTATATGTGCTCCTTGGTGGTGGTTGCAGGGGATGAGATGCCCAGTCAACACTCACAAGCCTAGTTTTCATGTAAACACAAGTGTTATGTCAAAGAATAGCAATGGGAAGGGATCAAGTTCGGGACAAAGCAGAGGTGGGATTCCGACACATAATATGGAAGAGGCGATGACAGAGGAGGAATTCTTCGAGTGGTTCCAAAATGCTATGCAATCTGGCATGTTTGAAAATTTTTCTGGTAGTACTAGTACATCTGAGAGCCCACCTAACCGAAATGTTCCCAAAACCGGGGGTGGCAATAGTAGCAGCGTAGGCAACAAGAGAAAGAAAAAGGGAAAGAAGCAATGGTGAGCACACAGGAAATTAGTATGTTTACGGACCAAAAAGGTATACACGCCAAGTGCGTAGCGTCTGGTCTATTGTGAAACCAATCTTTTGACTCCTGCATTACTGTAATAGTGTGTACAGTATTTTGCCCAAATTCTGCTTGGGATTGAATTTTTGCTCAGGAAGTTGGTCATGAAGTGAATTACATGTGGCATGACTAGGGGTGTAAAATGGTCGGTGGGCCCAACCGTACCCTGTAGGTGTCTCATTCGTCAACCAACCCCATATTCGGGAATTTGTTGAACCCACAACTTATAAGCATTTAAGAGTACTACCAAACAAGCACTTAAGTTATGTAGATTCACAAACTACTAGTTGGAGTATTAAAGGAGAAAAATTTTGAAATATTGTGCATTGTATTGTCTAAATCATTCAAGTTCGACGTGTTTTGGTTTAAAACTAATGCAATATACCATACGAAATCCATAGTATTTTTGGTACCATATGGTATTATTGTACAAAAGATAAAATAATTCTCCCTATTTTGAGGCCTTAATTAGTGAATGAATCAGAAATAAGACTTACACAATAGACATACAGAAGAAATGAAAATAATCATAAAGTATACCATGCAAGTGCCCACACGTTATAACTGATTTTTTTTTAAAAATCATTAATAAATTAGAAATAACAGCGGACTTAAGTGTTTTTGTTTCTTACTTTTATGCTTAACTGTGTATCTTGATGAGTTACGGACTTAAGTAAATCTTAAACATTGTTTACCAACTAGTCGATGACAGATCTGATCCACGTAAAATATTGGAAAACTGAGGTACCAATTGATTAACCCGTATAACATAATAGAGAACTGATGTATTATAACTTACATTATCTTTTTACCAAGGCAGTTCAACACTTATAAGATAGGAATGTTACAATAACAGACAAAATATAGATCGGATCAGGACATATTATTGATAGTACTTCCTCAAGTGTTCAATATTCCACTGATGAGGCAATACCTTCCATGCCATGTCTTCTATTTCATAAGTGCCGGGTCGAGACTCTTCGCAGATGTGAAAAGGACCTTCCCAGTTCGGTCCAAGCACTCCAGACCCAATTGGCTTCGATGATTGGAAGACCCTTCTAAGGACGAGATCCCCCAGATAAAGAGTTTGATTTCTGACCTTAGAGTTGTAATAACAGGTCATCTTTCTTTGATACTTTGCCAATTTTATTTGAGAGAAATCCATCCTTTCTTCAAAGAGGTGAAGTTCATGCACTCGAGCTTCGTCGTTGGTGATCTCATTGAAATGTATCCGACGATAAGAGGGAATACCCACCTTGATAAGACTCATGGCTTCGGATCCATAGGTCATGGAGAAGGGTGTCTCACCTATTGCAGTTTGGCTGGTTGTTCGAATGGCCCATAGGAGATGGGGGAGTTCATCGACCCACGCCCCTTTCAAGGCGTCAAACTTTCTTTTCAGGGTATGCTTGATAGTTTTGTTTACTGCCTCGACCTGCCCATTTGCTTGGGGGTGGTGGGATGTTGAGAAGTCCTTCCTTATGCAGAGTTCGTCACATAAGTCTCGCATCTTTTTGTTGTCGAACTACCTTCCGTTGTCAGACACTAAAGAGTGGGGAATGTCGAACCTGCAAATGATATTTTTTCAAATGAACTTTGTGGTGTTCGCTTCAGTGATTTTTGCTAGAGGTTCAGCTTCAACCCACTTGGTGAAGTAGTCAATGGCAAAAGTGGCGCTTCCTCTTCCTTTTGGGAGTGGACCGATAAATTCTATGTCCCACTTGACGAACGGCCACAGGTTGGTGACCACGGAGAGGCTTTAAGAAGGGTGCCTTTGAATGTTTGAGAAGCGCTGGCACTTGTCACATCTTTGAACAAACTGGTTACCATAGACGCCCTCATGAATCTCCCTGAATATATACATGGCTTCTTCCCCTCCCACACATCGGAGAAGTGGGGAAGCGAAACCCCTTTTGTAGAGCATACCATCCTGGAGAACAAAGTGAGCAGCCCTCCTCCTCAATTTCTTCGACTCACTTTTCGAGGTTGACAGTGATTGATCTTTGAGGTAGGCCACGATGGGTTGCATCCAAAGTGGGGTGCCTTCAGTCCATAGTACCTATTCGCCTCTAGAGATAGAGGGCTTCGGTAAACGCTCAATTGGAACAATAATTAGTAGCTCCGAATCCTTACTGCTGGCTAGTTTGGACAGGGCGCCGACGTGTGTATTTTCGAGGCGTGGGACTTGAACTAATTCAAATCTCTTGAAGTGAGGGATTAGATTCATAACCAATTTCAAATACGCAGCTATGCTATTGTCTTTGGCTACAAACTTTCCGTTGACCTGACTTACTACAAGATTCGAGTTGCTACTTGCTAGGAGCATTTTCACTTACATCTATTTTGCTAGTATAAGGCCTGCTAGGAGGGCCTCATATTCCGCAGCGTTGTTCGATGCTTTAAAGTCGAACCTGACTACGCAGTTTAATTTATGGCCCTCTGGGCTTTCTAAAATAACTTCTGCTCCAGAGCCAGTCTCTCCTGACGTTTCATTCACAAATAGGTTCCATGTTAGGGGCTCGGCTGGTTCTATTGTCGCCTCCATTTCTGGGGCTTTGACAAACTCAACCACAAAATCTACGAGGGCTTGGCCTTTGATGGCGTTTCGAAGTCGGAACAGTAGGTCGAACTCGCTAAGTTTGATTGCCCATTTTAGCAAACGTCCCAAAGCATCTGTTCTCTGCAATACTTGTTTCAAGGGGAAGTAGGTGAAAACCTCAATTGAATGGGCTTGAAAGTACGACCTCAATTTCCTCGACGCTGTAACTAGGAAGAGTACAAGTTTCATCATATCTGGGTAGCGCGCCTTTGTTGGGAGGAGTGCCTTGCTAATATAATACACCGACAGTTGATGCGCGCTTTCCTCTTTGACAAGGACTACACTAATGGTCTGGTCTGAAACCGTCAAGTACAGCAGCAGTGACTCTTGTGGTTGTGGCTAGGATAGTAGAGGTGCTTCTTCAGTGCTTGGAAGGCTTCCTCGCATTCCCTCGTCCATTAGAATTTCTTCCCTTATTTCAAGACTTTGAAGAAGGGTAAGCTCTTATCATGGCCCTGGAAACGAAGTAGCTGAGCGCGGCTATTCGACCGTTGAGGCTTTGTACCTCCTTTAGCTTCTGAGGTGACCTCATTTCTAGTAGGGCCCTTATCTTTTTCGGATTCACCTCGATTCCTCTCCGGTTCACAATATATCCTAGAAACTGACCCGAAGCAACTCCAAATGTGCACTTGAGGGGGTTCAATTTTATGTTGTACTTCCTAAAAATCTGAAAGGTTTGTTCGAGGTGACTTACATGTTCTTTCGCCTGGAGGCTTTTAACTAGCATGTCGTCCACGGAGACTTCCATAGTTTTGCCAATGAGCTCGGCAAACATCATGTTAACCAACCTCTAATTAGTGGCTTTAGCATTTTTTAATCCGAATGGCATCACCTTATAGTAATACAATCCCCTGTCTGTGATGAACGATGTGGATTCTTCATCAGGTCGGAACATGGGTATCTGGTTGTACCCTGAGTATGCATTCATGAAACTCAAGAGCTCATGTCTAGCAATGGAGTCTACCAGTTGGTTAATTCTTGGGAGAGAGAAGTTGTCCTTAGGACATGCCTTATTTGGATTTGTGAAGTCTACGCACAGCCTCCATCTTCCACTTGGTTTTTTTACGAGGACAGGGTTGGATATCCACTTTGGGTAGAAAGCTTCTCTGATGAAGCCACTACGGCTGAGTTTATCAACTTCTTCTTTGAGCTCATCATATCGCTCCGAGTTGAGGGCTCGTCTTTTCTACCAATGTGGGGTACATGAGGAGTTGATGTTAAGGTAGTGGCAATTGATCCTTGGGGTCTATTCCTGCCATGTCTTCGTGTTTCCAGGCAAAGACATCTAGGTTCCTTTTCAGGAAGTTCATCACCTCTTCTTTCACCTCGGGGGGTAATGCTTTCCCTATTCGCAAGACCTGAGTTGAGTCTTCAGGGTTGATGGGGAAAGTTTTCAGTTCTTCCATTGGAGTTGTATTTGGTTCTGATTCGATAATTTGAGGATCCAACTCATTAAGAGGGTGCCTTTCTTCAGGGGCCTCTACCATGTTGACGTCTCCCTCCTGTTCGGAGGTACACCCTTGTTCAGGGGCGTCGAGCATTTCCACGTTCATGTCGGCGTCGTTGGCGACTTCTGTTATAATGACATTAACAGTGCGGGGCTCGAATTTTCGCAGAGAGTTGAAGTAACATACCCTTGAGCCCATTTGATCGCCTCGCACTGTAGCAATCACATGCTCAGCTGGGAACTTCATACACAAGTAATGGATAGATGTAACTGCCCAAAAATCTTTCAAGGCAGGTCGACCCAATACTTCATGGTAAGCTAATCTGTGGTCCACCACCAGGAACTCCATCAAGTGGTGGGCCACTAGGAGGGATGACCCCATCTCGATAGGTAGGGTAATTCGCCTTCTTGGGATGATGCTGTCACCAGTAAATCCAAATAGCGGGTCAGTCATGGGGATCAACTCATGTTCAATATGCATTTTATCAAATGTGGATCCAAACAGTATATTCACCGAGCTTCCATTGTCGACGAGTATGCGTTTGAGTCCGTCTCGAGCCACTACGGCTCTTACTACCAACGCGTCACAATGGGGGTGGTGAACTCCTTGTGCATCTTCTTGAGAGAAAGTGATCGGGGTCATCCTATTGGCCTTTTGGGTCTGATTGACTATGTAAGTAATCATTGGAGGATCCTTTGCTTCCTTTGTGTAGTTCTTCTGGGTGTTCCTGGTGTTGCCCCCGATGTTAGGTTCTACAATGATTGTATCAATTTCCTTGATAACTTGGCCTCCAAACGGGGCCTGATCCCTACGCCTGAATTCTTCTCTGTCCCTGGATTCTCTTCTCCGGGGGCATTGGTCTCTATATCGCCTATCTTCCCTATTCGGAGAGGTGGACCTGCGTGTGTATTCACTCCTTGATGAGTGTGGGTTATTTCGGTTCGAGGATCGAGGAGCATCCCTACATTCGCTGGTGTCGTGTCCGTAAAGTTGGTGAAAGGTGAAGAACCTTGCCCCTTCCAATGGCCTGTTTGATCGCTTATTCTTCTTCTTTCGATTGTTTGTTCTCCCGAATGGTCCTGCTTCGGTAGTAGCATTTTCATATGCCAGCACTGGCACTGCATTTAGAGTGGCTAAAGCCAATGCCCGTCCAGATATGGGGCTACTGTGTGACCGGCCTAGGTCCATTGCTGGGTGACGAGGTGTGCGGCTGGTCCTTGACCCATTTGCCTCTGAGGTGAGGGAAATCCCTAAGCCGCACATTTTCGAT